GAGATTGACACGATGATTTACCCTGGTTCACCCAATTAATTAAGGCTACGTCCAGCTTGTCTGCACTATGTTTTCCTCACCGCCACTCGTTACAAGTCACTTGATTTATAAGGAAAATATAAATAGGATTATAAAACCCTAACAGCAGCTATTCATGGACCCAAGCCCAAACTGCTAAGAAAATTACAATAAAACAGGGGCCTACAATAGTACCTAGCCTTTACGGGCCTGGGGCGCTGCCTCCCGGACTTTCGCCGGGGCAGCTCCCCCAGACTCCCGTTGCCTTTCTGCTGACCCCGATAATTAAGATCTTCATCAGCATGCGAAGTATGAACCATACCCAACATTCCTGTTCTTTGAGACTTTATGAGATTGGGTCTCTATCTCGTACGTGGTAGGTCCCGTTCAAGTTTCATTTTGATTAAAAATTAACCAAGTAACCATCATATGAGTAAAAAGACAGATGAATTAAATACTTAATCAAAGTACAAGGGTTGATTATAGAGATATGGGGACCGGCTAAAAGTACTGTAGTACTAAGAGAAGAAGAGCGTGTCCGTGTAGTCACGGGAGATGTTCCCTTCGTCACTAACTATTACAAGGGAGAAGGGTGATTTGATAGCGCGTGCTCTGTTACAAACCGCATGCTCATGATGAAAACCGCGCGCATAGGCCTCGCCTTAGAGTCACGGAGCCCTTGAGAGACTCTTTCATTAATTATGAGACATTTCATGTCAATGTTAATTTTGTATTCCTTATAAAATTTGAATTAAAGTTAATTTCATTTATATGGAATAATGAAAATGTCAACGTTAATGACTTGTAGTTTACTTGCGTAGACTGCATTTGTTTAAGAATTTCACAGCATGTGACTTTCAAGTCCTTATATATGTTACCAAAGATTGGATGACAGTCTTTGTCACAAGAGTATTGATCCCAAGCATAATTAAATAGCTCGCAGACTATTGATCTCAAACGGCATTGGCATCAATAGTCTGCGAGAAGGCAATACGAAATAAACGTTGTTTAATTGAGATGTTTTAACTGTAAGTTTTACCATCGGTTGCATGAATTGCTGAAGATCTACGTACTCCAGTCAAAAACAAAAACAGAAACTCTACCCCTCATTAATCATTAAAGAATTCCACGTAGTCTTTTGAGTGGAATAAATTGACACCAAAAGCCTAACTTCTTCATGATTTGATTTTAATTATATAAAATTTAGCAAAAATTCTTTTTCTTATATTGCAATTAAGCGCAACCTCCATCGGATGAAGTTTGATTGGTGGCTGTCAGCATCGATCGTGAAACATTCAAAAAAGAAAATGTTTGTATTAATGATTATTAATGATGATGCATAAATAATGAAATCCCGAATTTGGAATATTACTCTCGAGTCACATTCTTGGTGAGTCAATTACTTGGGAAAATGACCCATTTTTGTTGGGCAATGATGCAAGTTCCCATCTTATATATACTTGAGGTTTTAGGACAAATAAAAAGCTAAATTAAAATTGTTAAGCTGTCTATTAATTAAAACTTTAATTAAGAATATTACATATTACATATTGTACTCGTTAGCAATTGTATCTGACAAGTGAATGCTGAATAAGACCTTCACGGACTAATACCTCCTACAATTAATTCTATTGCCCGTTCCTAACATGCATGTGAGGGCATGGCCCCTACCCCATATCCTTGCTAGCCAAAATGGCAACAACCCCTAACCCCAAATCACGGTCATTGCCAATAGCCAACTATTTCAAGATCTTTGGAGTCCCTAATAGACACTATTGCAATGTGACTATCTGAATATATATATATATATATATATATATATATATATAGAGAGAGGATTCATGTAGGCATTACAAACTATAAATGAGATTTGATTTTTTTTTTCTTAGGAAATATTAGTGTCGTGTTCGGCAAAAGAGAAGGAAATAAAAAATAACGTGTATAACCCGTAGTTGTAAATTCCTAAAAAAATAAATAAATGTCTTTTTTTTTGTGAAATTTCTGTTTTACTCTTTAAGCTTAACACTCGTATTTTTATAAAGACTATCGAAATTCGTAAATGTGTTTCAAACTCTTGCTTCGTTGGCCATGCTATCTACAAATGTGTAGCAATTGAAGCTTCAATCTCTTCACAAGTTCATATAGTCTTGATCAGGACCACTTTGCTGTTTATTCATTAATAGCCCACCTCCATGATACATTCCTTTCATGCTAGCTTTTTTCTACCCTTGATCTTTTATCTGTCTTCACATTAATTTGTTCTTTATTTTATTCTTCCCACTTACATTATTTTCGCAAGTTTGATTCATCTTTGGTAATAAGTACAAACCATATAGCATCTTTAAGCTAAATGTGCTTCATCAGATCCTATGAGATTGAAAGCTGGCAAAACAAGAAGAAACAAAAAACACGGGTTGATCTTATTGGCTATGTGCATGCAGTGAGAATGATGTAACATCTCAGGGTAATTCCAAAGCAATGGCTTCACATGACAGATTCTTACAACTGCCTCACCTAATATTGGTGGTTGAAAAGAACCAAAATTACCATAGCTTCACACTCTAAGAGGCTTGTCACCTATGTCGAGCGCACTATAATAGAAACATGACGAAATTTTCAAACTAGAAATTGCTGCTGAAATTGGCAAATCTCCACCAAAGAGACTATTAACTATAAAGTAGGAGACAACTCTCTTTTCTCTCTTTGTAAATAGCAAAATATTGCCCGTTACCTCTAGGCCCCTTACCAATTTTAGTTTTTTTTTTTTAGTACAAATTTTTACGTATTTCACATTAGTTCTTAATTTTTTAAAACTCAATATCAACTCTGTAAAATATTGTTTTGGTCTTTTCAAAAAATTTATTTATTTCATATTAGTTCCCTCTTAAAATCCAACACCAAGTTGTTGAAATATTAGTTGTCAAACAAGTTAGACCTTAGGTTTAAGTTGGGTTCACTTGTGTTAACGGAAGTGTCAATGTGGCTTGTTAAGTTACTAACGTGAAACTAAGATGGCCACATGTTAGTGCGACTTTAACATAACTAACATGACGAATGTTTTGATAAAATCAAATGTGTTGGGTTTAGATTAGTTACTCAACATGTTACACTGGACTAACCTATGTTGATGTAAGCTGGTTTGGTAATATTTAAGCATAAGCAGAACTAGAGAACATCTTCAAGTTAAGATAGTGAATATGTTTCAAATTAGTGATAAAGAAATTTTTGTATTCAGACATCATCGATCTAATAATGTATGTGCCACCTGATAGTGTCGTTAGCAAACTCAACGTCTTACAAATTTATTAACAAAAGTAGAACCAACTTAATCAGGGGAATAATTTCATTAACAAACTGATATTTCAAAAATTTCATATTTAGATTGTAGAAATAAGCGAAATTTTTAGAAGACGAAAGTAATGTTTTTTTATTTTGGTGGTAATCTTTTTAAAGTACGTGGAGTTCATCAGGGATATCTCACAGCATGCCTTTTTTATTTTTAGCAGAAATATGAAATATTTTTATTCAATCTCCTCTAGTCATTTTGTTTTTGGAGAATGGCTCCAAAGACTACTTTTTAATTGGAACAACATGTCATCGGGTTATGTTATTGGAAGAAGAATGCGACTAATTCATTATTGAGGAAGAATTTTTTCTCTCCGACTCTTAAAAAATTCCAAAATTTTATATTACCCAAAAATCCAATCATGAGCTATGCAAACCCTAGGTGCTCCAACTCGCCAGTTGAGCTACCCCTGGGAGTTCACAGCATGCACTTTGAACCATAAGTTTGGGGTGTTTATTTTAAATAAGGGTTTTATAAGAGTTATGTTGTAGAAAAAGTGATTGTGTAATGTTACAGAGATTCGTTTTGCGTGCCTTAATTTTTTATTTATTTTTTTGTTTTAAAAAGTGTGGGCCCCACAAAATGTTGTGAGTGTAGAAAAGTTTGTTGTGTTATGTTAAAGGATAAAACGAAAACCCTTTAAATAATAATTGCATAATTGTCATTATGATTGACCCCTTGTCTTTAGCGTATACCCCCTCATTCCTAAAACTACATTCCTTAGGTCTTAGCTCAAGTTCCTTTGCTTTCTTCTCAAAGCATAATGTTTTGCTCAATTCTTTCATATCAGAAGTTTCTCTTTTGTTCGCAACTCAAATTAGTTTCCCGCAATTCTCCAATTCTTCTTTAAAACATGTTCAACAACGTGCTTTCTAGTTTCTAGTAGAAGAATAATCTTTTTAGTTTTTGAATAAAAATTACTGTCCACTCAAACGATAACCCACCCCATCCCCCACCTTAACACCTTTTGACTAGCAACGCCAACGGCAAACAAACGATCAAACGCAACTAACACCCACGATAAATAAAGACCCCGAGAAATCGTGAGAATATGACGACGCACACACTAGTACTCTGCGACTCGTTTTAAGACACAACCGTTACCAACGTCAGACAAAAAAAAAATTAAACAAAACGAAAAAAAAAAAAAAAATTGGAGTGAAACCTAATATTAATTAACATGACCATATGAAAAATAAAAGAGAAAAAATATTAAAATAATAAATGACAAGATCATTCACATTACATGATTATATTAACTAACATATTAAAAAAAGTGCATTCCCAAATATCATAAAAGGAACCGTTAGACAACTTTCCCTAAACTAGACTAAACACCCAACACCGCACGACAACAGCGTGAGGACATACACTGAACCTCTCCGACAACGTAATTTTTTTCAAACTTTTTCTTTTGTTATCCTACATATAATTTTCGCGAGTATTATTTTATTTTATCTTTCTTTTGGTTCAAAAAGAATCCGAGAAGAGAAGACCGTTCCTCGTTAGCTGTGCCCTCAATTTCTCATCTCCCTCCTTCACAGGCAACGACGTCGTTTTCTGTTAATGTTCCACACTCTTATGAGATTCAAAATCACTGGACACCAAACCTGAAACACTGAAGAAAAAAACCACCATGGTTGCCGGAAAGGTAAGGGTAGCAATGGGGTTCCAGAAGTCGCCAGCTGCGACGGCGGCGGCGCAAACTCCTCCGCAGCAGAAGAAGCAACCTTCTCCTCCGCCTTCCACGGCGACCTCTGCAACCAAGTCATCATCTCACAAGTCCTCATTCTCGCGCTCCTTCGGCGTCTACTTCCCACGCTCCTCCGCTCAGGTCCAGCCCCGGCCGCCGGACGTGACGGAGCTCCTACGCCTGGTGGAGGAGCTCCGCGAGAGCGAGTCTCGCTTGAAGACAGAGCTGCTGGAGCACAAGCTGCTCAAGGAGTCCATCGCCATTGTTCCGGTTCTGGAGAACGAGATCACCGCGAGGGAAAGCGAGATTGAACGGAACAAAAAGAGAATGGAAGAGACAGAAGCTGAGAACGAGAGGCTGAAGAAGGAGTTGCAGGAACTGAGGCTCCAAATGGAAGAAGAGAAGAGAGAGAGCGAGGTGAGAGTGAAGGCGTTGGAGAATGAGATAGAAGAGCTGAAGAAAACTGCGTCGTATTGTGGTATCAACAAAACAGAGTCATTGGAGAGTAACGATCACGTGCACGAGCACGAGCACGAGCACTTTTCTTCTTTGCAGAGATTCCAGGGGCTTGTGGAGGTTTCTGTGAGGTCCAATCTCATCAAAAGCTTGAAGAAAACGGCTTCGGATCATGGAACCGTTAACCTGAAGCACATTGAAGTTGCAGATTTGAAAAGAGATGTTGCAGAAACTGAAAGGCCACGTCACTCGCGCTCTAACTCGGAGGAACTCTCCGATTCCACTGACTCAGTTCTAACCGTTTCCGTCAGATCTCGCGGGCCTCGAGTTCCCAACCCGCCACCGCGACCGTCTTCTTCTTCGCCGCCGTCACCGTCGAGTGGTTCTTCTTGTGAAAACAATAATGGCGAAACAGAGCAACCGATTCCGCAACCGCCTCCTCCTCCTTCGTCTACGAAGATAGCGCCACCTCCGCCTCCTCCTCCCCCGCGGAAACCTTCTTCAAAGGCGGCTCCTCCGCCTCCTCCGCCACCGCCGAAAGGAGGTAGGCTGGCTCCGGCGAAGGTGAGGAGAGTGCCGGAGGTGGTGGAGTTTTACCACTCGTTGATGCGGAGGGACTCGCAGTCGCGGCGGGACTCAAGCACCGGCGCCGCATCGGAGGCTCCGGCGACGGCGAATGCACGCGACATGATCGGCGAGATCGAGAACCGTTCGACTCATTTGTTGGCGGTAAGTGTACGTGAACGTGAGTTTCGTGGTGTAATTACGGTTTTGCCATTGGGCACTTGTCAGTGTCTGTCAACTGACATGTGTAGTCGCTTTTATTGCTTTAATTTGAAATTGGATTTCTTGCTGGATAAGACACTAATCAGATTCGTATTCGAAATGTCCAAAATCGTAAATATGCTCCAAATTATAGCATTTTGTGGAACCCAATGTCACTATTAGTTAATCAAGTCAAAGAAAGTTGTTAATTTTAGGTGATTAGTACTGATCAAGCTTAATCAAATTCAACTAGTTAGCGTCAATCAAGGTTATTTTTTTTATATATTTTTTTTAACCCTTTTTTTTGGGCTTTGTCTGGTCAATAATCTTTGTTTGCTTACAGATAAAAACAGATGTAGAAACACAAGGAGACTTTATTAGATACTTGATTAAAGAAGTGGAGGGTGCAGCATTTACGGACATTGAAGACGTTGTGCCTTTTGTCAAATGGCTTGATGACGAGCTCTCTTATTTGGTACCTTTCTTTACTATTTGCATTCAAATTTAGAAATTAGAAATATATATATATTATTTTATTTTTTTAATGATTTTTCTGCCTTTTTTATATTGTGTTCAGGTTGATGAAAGAGCAGTGCTGAAACACTTCGATTGGCCAGAGCAGAAGGCCGATGCTCTACGCGAGGCTGCGTTTGGGTATTGTGATCTGAAGAAGCTTGAATCCGAAGCTTCCTCTTTCCGCGATAATCCTCGGCAGCTATGTGGTCCAGCTCTTAAGAAGATGCAGACTCTATTAGAAAAGTATGTGTATTTGTTTGTGAAATTAGATGTTCTTGTGCACAGAACCACCGAGCATTGACTAATGTTGTTTATTTAATTTCCGTAAATGTTTATGACAGATTAGAACATGGGATTTACAATATCTCAAGAATGAGAGAGTCGGCGACAAAGAGATTCAAAGTCTTCCAAATACCTGTAAATTGGATGCTTGATAGTGGTTATGCGAGCCAGGTAATTTTCATATAACACACATGACATGACCCATAATCTTCAAATTCATTGAATAATAGTCAAGAGTTGTTTAGAAGTTGTTGATGTGGTGTTGACCCGTTAGTAAATGTAAACGTTCCTTTAACTAACCAAATCAATTGTATTGGTTTGACCCAATCACCCAACCAAAATGTATCTATGAAATTTTGAAAACAATTATCATGGTAAAGTTTACTACATAGCGTATATGACAAGTGGGTGATAGCAAAATGACAAAACAATGGGTATCTTTGCTGATAGACTTCGTCTTTTGTTTCTCTGTACTCATCTGCATGCGCACATGTGAACTCCGGATCTCTACTCATCTGCTTCATCTTTTTGGATAAGGAAATTCTCTTTGCACACCAGGAACTTGGAAGGCTACTAGATTCTTTATTTTAATAATTATGTGAATAAAAAAAAAGGGCCGACCCAGTTCAAATACCCACTTCGTGAGTGTCTGGGGAAGGGAATACTCTAGGCAGTCTTTCCCCTGCTTTTAATAGAGCAAAATAAAAAGGTCCATATGCTTCTATACGAATATACAATGGCCCAAAAAAAGTATATACGATCATACAAAGTGACGAATGATGGGGTAAATTCTGAAATGTTGGTTAGCTCACTTCATTTATTGTATCTGCAAACGTTAAAATGGTGACAGATAAAGCTGGCATCTGTAAAATTGGCCATGAAGTATATGAAGAGAGTCTCTGCTGAGCTTGAGACAGTTGGTGGGGGCCCTGAAGAAGAAGAGCTCATTGTCCAAGGTGTTAGATTTGCATTCCGAGTACATCAGGTAAATAGTTTTATAACATATTTGAACAATGGTACAAAATTTAAGCCTATTCAGCTATATATTCTAAGGGGGACATTAATGAGTTGTTATGTTTGGCAGTTTGCTGGTGGTTTTGATGTGGAGACAATGAGGGCATTCCAAGAATTGAGAGATAAAGCAAGGTCATGCCATGTTCAATGTCACAGCCAGCAACAGAAATTCTTTTGCAGGTCTCCAACATTCTAATGCTGGAGCAAACTCAGCTTCAGAGAATTAGTAGAGCCCCAAACCCCTCCTTCCTCTTTTGTTGTAAAGATATTTTGTTATTGAATAGAATGGCAATAGTATTAGCCATCCTTAAAGTAGAACTTATTCATCATAATTCATGATTCATCCATTCATTACTTAATGGGAAAAAAAGACATTTATTTCCACTCTGGGCTCTGGCACATGATGCTGCTGTGAATCCCTGGAAATTTACACCTCTAATCAAATCAAATCCGTCATGTTTCTCTTTGTTTTTTTTAGTATAAGAAAAAGAAGGGAAGCACTTTATTTTTTTTTAAAGGATGAATCCATAATTTACAGTTAATAAGAATGAAAGCTTAAAAGATTAAAAAATTATTTTAAAAATAATTAGAATCTAGAGACTAATTGAGACAAAATTAAAATTAAAAGTATCTATTTGAAAAAATAATATAAAATTTAGGGTGATTTATTTTCCTAATTTTATTGATAAAATAATATTAAAAAAATGAGATTTAATTTTACACCGTACGAGACTGAAAAGTACTTGCCAGTTAGATACGCAATACTTCTGCGTAATTTTCTACTGCCCCTTGAACCCTCCCCAGCTTTTGACAAACTTCTTTCTACACTTCCCATGTAATTCCCCAAAAACTCCTAATTACAGGAGTACATGCTCACTCTTCTATTTAAAAATAAGAAAAAGTGAAACTTAGTTGAAAATAATCATAAAAGGGTGAAAAAAATGAGAAAAATACACTGTTAATTTTTTTTCAAATTTAGTAAAAAATTACTAAATATTCAATATTATTAGTGAAGTGAGAGCCACATTTGTAATCTCAAGAGGTGTGATATATTATTAGGGGTGTCTTTGATAGTAATAGTACAAACCAAGACTATGTAAAGAGTTCCCAGGTGCAATGTGTAACAATGGGGGAGGTGATGAACAACTACAATGGCTCTCAAAGTGGACAGAGTAACAATTCATGTAAAATGGTGAATAATGTGTGTTCATGGTGGAGAAGAAGGGTGTATTTATATTTAGGGTCAGGTTCTATCCATGTGGCAGAGTGAGACAAGTCAATTGGTTTGAGGTAGGGCATTCCAATGTAAAACCTTGTATGTCTTATGTTGGGGAGTCTGATACATTGGTGCTGATATGACAACATTGTCACAGCTGCAAGGATATATCAGGGGTGGTGTATCAGAGGTAAAACGGTCCTTGATATTGGGCCAGCATCATTGGACTAGCCAATTGGGCTGACCGGAACAAAAAGATAGCTTAAGAATGATAGATTCTAGAACTGAATTTGTATTAACTTGCAAAATGGATAACACATTGCATAACTAGTGTTTAAAAACTCGGTCCGGCCATCGACTTAGTCGAGGTCAGGGGTCACGGGATCATGAATACAATCGGGGGGGGGGGGGGGGGGTCATAGGATCACTTCGCTGACCCGATTTTATATATTAAAAAAATATAAATGTATATCCTATATGAAAAAATTTTAAAAATCAAATCACTGATCATCAAAAATTCAAAATATACTTAACATAATTCAACCAATTACATCCACAAGTCAATATTACATAAGCTAATCAAAGTATCAAAGTATAAAACACATTCCAATGGAGTTAATAAAAAGTTATATTATCAAACTCAGGCCCTCATTGTTCTTCTCACACACCTATAATAGCATGTAAAAAGAGATCCCTTATCCAAGACAGAACGACGGAGGAGAGGTGGAATCAACGGTAAGAAGAAAAGAACCAACACTGTGGAGGAGATCATCGGATCAGGAAGACGAGGTCTAGGTCTGGGAGAGAAGATTGGAAGAGAAGAATAAGAATGATTCAGATTTCAGATATAATTCTATATCTAGGCAGATTTTTTTTTTATACATCAAACAACGTTTTTTTGTGTGTAAAAATACAGTGTCCCCCTCTGAATTGGGAGTCACGGGTTCAACCAGGAAATTTTAAGAGTCAGAGAGGTGGTTAACATACATGTATGGTCTAACTGCTAACTCCAATCCTTAGAGAAAAGTAGTCAGTGACCCGACGAAATCGACCCGGAGGAGTTTTAAGTCAGTGTGCATAACCCAAAAGCGGAGACGGACCGTAGTGTTGACGTGTATGCTCAGGGCATATTGAGTTAAAAAGTTTATTACTATATTAAACCTTTATCATTAGTGATTTTACGGTTCTACGATTTAATTATATGAAGATGTTTGCCTCCGTTACTACTTAAAATAAATGGTTAAATTAGTATTTAAAAGTTTAGAAAGAGAAATGTTTGACAATACTAAAGATAAAAAATGATTTATTGCTCTAAAAATAAAAATATACAAGGAATAATTATGTATTTATCTTCAATTAGTTTTATTATATTTTATAAGCGAATGTTAAAATTTTAAAAGGTATATGGTGTCCATGATCTTGCTCCCTAACCATTAATTTCTTGTGTGTCACTGCCCAACAAGCACATTTATGGATGTCCTGTGTGTGCTGTGATTAAATGCTAGGCGATGTGCATTTTCCCCAGGACCAGTGCACGGCGCACCCCTTAAAATGACTTGCGAGAATAGGTAATTGCAATGGTGTTAAAATTGAGATCTTAAGTAAGATCGGAAGGAGATTAAAAAATCGTAAACCGTATAATCGTAATGTAAAAAAATGATAAAAAAATCGTAAAAACGTTTGGAATATTAGTAAAATCGTTTTGATGAAAAAAATCGTAAAAACATAAAATCGTAATGATAAATCGAGATTTTAACAACAATGAGTAATTGCAACTTACAGAATAATGCTTCCTATATTTACATGATAGTCTAATGTGCAATTAAATTTGCATTTTATTTCCCTCAAGACCCTATCTATAATAAAGCTAACCACCACATTAGCAAGACCAACGGCATAGTCGTCTGAAAATCTAGAAATCTAGACACTTAAATGATAATCTTACTGCAAGTTGGCTTAAGAAAAGAAGCAAACTCTAAGGAGTTCATCTTTTGTAATAATCTAAAAGTGGTCCTTAAGGTAATTAAATTATAAGAGCTTAGTATTAGCCTATTCGAAGGTCCATTTGAACAGTAAATAATTGTAATCCAACGATTATTTATTCAGGAAATATGCAAACAATATTACAGGAAAACACCTGAAAAAGATTAGCATTTCTATAAATCAAAATAAGTCTGAATAATAATATAAAGTCAAACTAATTCTTATGTGTCAAAATAGGAGTTTTTTTTTTTTTCAAAAAAAGAAAAGGCTTCAAACTTTAAATATGGATATCGAAAATGAAATAACAAAACTTAAAAGGTCATCATCGTACGTGCGGTTTCAAAGTTGGCCCCTTGTGAAAGTAGCGGTAAAGATTTGGATACTTCAGTGGTCTGTTATATATTGGATATGTAGAAATTGTGTTACAAAGTAAAAATATAAACAATTTAGAACCATTTTAAAAATTAAGTCCGGTGAAAGTAGAGGTAAAGATTTGGATACTTCAGTGGTCTATTATATATTGGATATGTAGAAATTGTGTTACGAAGCAAAAATATAAACAGTTTAGAACCAATTTAAAAATTAAGTTCGCAGTTTCCTTCGGGATTAATCCGCAGTTCAATTAAATGATATATTTGATCACAATGTAGATAAACTGAACTCATATACAGGGACTATTGAGCAATGCTCTCTCTCTCGTCCATGACCAATGATCAATTCACAATTATAAATTTCAACACTTCGCACCATCTAAAAAATCAGATAACACCTTATTATATTTAGCATAAAACGTCTAACAAATTTTTTTTTTTTTTGGACTCTACCATCGAACAAGGACCATTATGGTGTTGTCCTCCAACAAGCAACAACTACCGTATTTACCATGAATGCTAGTAACGTCTAACAATTTTAATTCACCTCATCCATACAATGGAAATTTTCTGTCCCATGAATGATGACATTATGCAATCAATCTAAATGGAAATTTAATGCAAAATCCACAACTGGCAAATCTTAATCCAACATTATAGATAAATGGTCTTAAGTACCATGCAGGGACTAACTATTTTTAAATCATCTATCAGTTACATTATATTCCTCCAAATTACCTAAGTTTTCTCTTTCTACAAGCCCTGCGTCTCCAATATTGGCAACAAAAGTGAATGATGAGAATATCAGTCACAAAATTTTTCCGTCGATTTAAATCTGCCTTGCACTCCTGTCATAGATATATCAATATCAACATCCAGGATAAAGCGCACATCTACAGCAAGATCAGTAATATATGATAAAAACTTAAGGTTAAGAAAAGCTTCAAGTTTAACTAAAATACATAATGAATATTGAATCAAAATCAACAAAGAGGATCATGATATTACTCCCCTGCATTTTAAAAAGATTGTCATTTAGGTAGTGTTTGGTTGGGGAGTTCTCAAAATTATCCCAGCAAAGTGCATGTGGCTTTGTCATTTCTCCACGTTTGGTAGAAGGATGTTATGAAATTTATCCATGAAACACCGTTGCCTAGCTATTCAGAAATGCATGTAAAAAAGGAACAATGCACTGTTGATGAAGCCCTCTCACAACGTGGTATTTGTGTCAAAACCGGATAAATGAAAAAAGGGGATGAAAACGTGACAAGTATACCCCTCCTCTTAACCGATGAAACCCAGATGGTTATGATCGCATACACAGCACCTGACAGCATGCAACTAGAATCTGTCAAACCAGTTGTTGAAGTATTGACAGGCATAAAATCTTCACTTCTTAAACTCTGCTGATGCATATCATGGGGACAGAGAGATGTTGGAGTTTTAACCTCAACACCTTGGTTATTCAATCCATCTCCCAAAGAATCCGAGCTACTATCTGAACAAGATGCGGATTCAATAAATGAGATATGGTTGAAAGAAGACATGACAAAGCAGGAAGGCCTCACATTATGAACTACAACTCCTTGACAATGCGCTAAATTAACAATTTCTACTATTTGCTTAAATATGTGTAAGCATTCAAAGACATCTACTGATCTTTCAGGTTTATCTAACGATTGCCTCAAGCTAATATCACCCAATTCTACAGAACAAAAAAAAGGGGTCAGCCTCTACTTCATCCTCACAAAACCCAGAAACCCCAACAAGATTTTCAGGCTCATCATCTTGTGCCAACAGAACCCTATCCCTTTCCTTTTCAAAACCAGAATTTTATAAAAAGGTTACTTTTGTCATTTCTATTTTTTTACCCATCAAAATTTTATTTTCAATACATCAGAATTTTTAACCCAATTTTAGCAGTAATATTTTGCAGTACCAAACAACTTTTTTTAAACTTTCCTACGTTTTTCCTTGTAATTACATTTCCTAGTAAAAAAAAAATTTCCCTGAACCAAACACTACCTTAAGGTTTTGCACAAGGACTAAAATTCATTAAATGCTCATAATTTCAGGGAAATATAAGTTCATTTGACTATATTACCCTTCAACTCCATTAATGTTCTCTCATTCCATTTAGTGGAGATACAAAGACAACGATAAAGTTGGAAAAAGTAATTAATGCCTTTTTGATTTTCTCTAGTGACAAACAATTTGAAAAAAACCAAAACTTCAAAAGTGATAATTATTTTGAAATGGAGGAGTACATATGGAAGAAAGTGATTTTTAGTGTACTCAATCTCATAAACGAAAGAGAGATAGACTTGAGAGAAAGAGAACTGAATATTATAAATCTGAAAACTGTTTATGAATACACTCAGAGGTCAATATTTATAGACCTTCTAATTAAGCCTAATACATTGAGCTAAGTAGTTGTAAGATATCTAACTGATTCCTGAAAATCAGGAACTAACTAACTAACTAACTAATCAGTACAGAGGTGTAATCAGCTACTAAACAGATGCACAGTAAACTACTACTCTAATAAGTACATATGGAAGAAAGTGATTTTTAGTGTACTCAATCTCATTCTTGCATTAAGTTTGATTTGGAACATAGAAGCTCTCAATCACAAGTACATTTCCTTATTATTTAAAAAGGGAAATACAACTACTTTTTTTACAAAATATTTGTCAGGGATCCTAAAATTAATTTTCTCTTTAGAACTAGCTTCAGCCAGGAGTCCAGCAATATATAATACTCAGATCAATGAACTATACTAGAAAGCAATTAGTAGGGTATCTTGACACGGTGGCACACAATTGTGATGAGAATACCAGTGAGCTCTGCATCTTTTATGGTTTGGAATTATATGAAAAAAGGACCATATACAAGGCCTAACAACTTTGTCCCCTTCTTTCCATTAGCTCTATTATGGAAACATGAAATCAGTTCAGAGGGGGACATGAATTGTTCAATCAGTTAAAGTATATGAAAAAAATGAAATCATGATTTCTTCTCAAACCAAAACGCAAATATAAATGAAACTGGGTTTCTCAAAGAGACAATTCAAAGTTCATTAATTGATTAATCTTATCTGTAGCTTCTATGTCTCTGACTCCAGATTTCCTGTGACTTATCTAACCCAATAATACATGCAAATATAGCTAAAAAGTATGACTCAAAATTGGATGAGTAAAGTAGCACGCTATAACAGGGTGTTCCAAGTTCCAAAATAATAAATAAAATCAAAAGCAGTAAAGAATACTAAATTCCTCTAAACCTACACCCATTCATCCTTTTCCTTTGATATACAGATAATAGTACATACACTGAGACATACCTCTTCAAGAATTGATCAAGTATGAACCATTTTTTAATCAAATAATTATTGGCATTTCTGTCATTCTAATTTTTCAGGTAAAAACTGGTGATCCATTCCTAATAAAACATGGAAGCTACAATCTATAAAGAAGTACAACCCAATTGAAGGTTCCTTACCCATCTGAAAAAAGACAGGCTCTTATGGTTCAGACCGAACAAGCTCCTCCACAGATTTTCTATAATTGTCAATCAAGTCTCTGCAATAAGTAGAAAACAAATGCATGCATTTAGCATCTAGAAACATAACCAAACAGAGATATCTGATAAATTTGTACAGACCTTCGCTGATTTAGCAAATGCTCACTTTCCTCTAGCTTCTTCTTCTGTCCCTCAACTGTCTGCATTCAGCATCCAGAAAGCCCTCAAGTAAGGCCAAGAATAACCCCAGCTTCCAACTAATATTTAAAGACTTAACTTTTTAATGTTTTAAACACAATCATATTGAGATGTCTGACAGCAGATGAATAATTCTTCTTTTTTCCCATTGCGGAATTTTTTTATCATGCATGGCCCACATAATAAAAAATATTAAAAACTCAAATCTGACTATCTATGCTGCTAGAACTAAGAAGTATTAATATTTAAAAAAAAAAAATGAGTGCATAATGAGCATTTAATTACAGGAAAAACCAAAGTAGAGCCATTCAGTTTCTGCACACTTTTGAAACTTCGAATTTGAAGTTCAAGTATTTCAACAAAAACGCCTATCCTATTTAGGAAACATATATATACAAGCAATGAACACCGAAAAGAACACATATATAAAGTTAGAGAACTGCAAATTACCATAGCCTTGGTGCTAATGGAGCCAGAGATTGAATTTAACAGCTGCAGGCACTTCTCAAAATGATTGCTTAATTCGGTGATCTTTAACCCACGAAATGAAACAAAAATATCATAATTAAATATTTAAATAACCATACCAGGAAAATTCAAATCCGAAAACAAAAGGGATTAAACAAAACAGTGAAAAGTGGAAAAATTCATACCAATGCCTCTGACTGCTGATCCGGGGTCCCATGGTCGATAACCTCAGCCAAATTCTCAACCAACTATGCTCACAACAAACAATTTCCTTTATTCATATAAAAAAAGAAGAAGAAGAAGAAAGGAACGAGACCAAACTAGGGTTTTTGAAGGGATTACATGTAAGAGATGGTAGTGAGAGGCCAGCGATTGGTGAAGGTTCTGCTGCTGCTGCTGCTGCTGCTGTTGTTGTTGTTGCTGATGTTGTAGAAGGCGCTGTTGCTGATAAAGCTGCTGCTGTTGTTGTTGATGGAGAAACTGTTGTTGCTGTTGTTGTTGTTGTTGTTGAAGATAAAGGTTTGGGTCTTGGTTGGATTGGGATTGGGATTGGGTTTGTGCATTGGAATTATGGGTTGGGATCATGGTCCAGCTTCCTCCCGGAGAAGAGTAATGATCCATCGTTCTACGATAATGCTCCGATTGCTAAACTATTAGGGTTCAAGGATACACCTTTTCAGATAAATTTGGTAATGGCTCCTAATGAGTTTTTCACGTCAACTTGTGATCTGAAATTTAATAAATAAGAGGCACTAGAGCACAAGCCCTATTTGATCTCTTATTTTTTTAAAAAAAAAAACTTAAAAAAGAAACTAAAAATTGTTTGAAAATTACATAAAAATTTTAGCTTAAAATTAATTAAAAGCACATATTTTAAGTATATTATCTCTCTTTTTATCTTTATCACTCTTCATTTAAAAAAATAGCACACAAAATTAGTTTTTAACTTTTTTCTTCATTATTAAAACAAGAACTTTTCGTTATAAAAGCTTTTTCCAAAACTGTTTGACCTAGCTTATACTTATAAGGAGCTTCTAACTTAAAAAAAAATCCAAAGAAGCACTAAATTACGTTAGGCTTTCACTTAAATATTGGATTTAATTTGGTCTGTTAGATTGTATAGTTCACAAATTATAAGTTTAGCATAATTTATATTTAAAAAATAAAAATCTTCACCTGCATGTCCTCTTAGTCTGTTTAACCTTATTCAATATTTAATAATTAGAAGAGTAACTAAAATAATATTATTTTATTATTTAAAATTATTAAAATAATAATTTTATTAATTTTATTTAAAATAAATAATATAATATAGGTCAGCTTTTAGGTTACAAAAAAATCTATGACCCGTAGACCTAGAGATGGCAATATGGATTGAGCCCGGCGGGTCAACTCGCCAAAACGAGGCGGGTTGGGTTGAGGTTTTCAACCCACCGCAACCCCCCCCCCCCCCGACTATAAGTGGGTCAAAACAGGTTCAACCCGCCGCGTTATAATTTTTTTTTTTTTTACACATAGTATTCCATTAGTCCTTAAATTTTGTGATATCCAATTTTTTTTTATCTTAGTACTTCCTAAAAAAAATAAAGAATAACAAATTTATTTATGACAAATGTTATCTAGATATAAGTTCCTAAAGAATATTCGACAAATATTAGTATGCATTTAAGATTGAGACTAAAAAAATACAGAGAAGTGTGAAATAAAATAAAATAATATTAGAAAAATTCATAAAATATAATTTATTTTTGAAATTTGATTAATTTTTTTTAATTTGCGGGTTGGTGGGTTGACCCGCCAATCCGTCAACCCACCATAAAACGGGGTGGGTTCATTTTTTCAACCCATAATTTTTGACTGGTCAACCTGCCCCGCCCGTTTTTAACAAATTGGTGTCGGGTCAACTCAAATTGCCACCTCTACGTAAACCGATCTAACCCATTTACAACGCTCGAGGCACCCATTAAAATTTGGGAAATGCTTTTCTCATATGTTTCGTGAGAAAATTTTTATATGTTATTGTGCCAACATTTTTTTAGAGTTGGGAAAATATAATGTTATAATTTTAATTTTAATTTTATCCCTTCCTAAATTATATATATTTTTCTCAAATTATTTATTAATCTGCTTTTATTTAATTAACATTTAGCGAAAGCTTATGCGAATGAATACCTTATTATATACTAAAGTTTGGTAAAAAAAAAATTAAAAAAAAATTAATCCACAGTTTAAAAAAAACAGATGGATATATAATTTGAGAAGGAGGTAAAGAAATATAAAAAAATTAAAATAAAATTCGAATAAGCCCACAATATACACATTTAAAATTGTGTGTTTATCTCCCTTTTAAATAATAGATGAGTTTTATAAGAGTTATCTTGTAGGAAAAGTGATTGTGTAATGTTATAGAGATTCATTTTGCGTGCTGTAGTTTTTTTTTTGTTTCAAAAAATGTAAGTCCTACAAAATATTATGTGTGTAGAAAATTTTGTTGTATTGTACTAAATGATAAATACAAATTCCATAATAGATATTACCGTAAGTAAGATTTTGATGAAATTTGTGTAAACCTATTCAGATAAACACAAAATGTTATCGGTTCTTCCGACAAAGGTATGGTATATAGAATAAATTCTTAGTACTCGTTTAGCATTATAAGTATGTGCCAAACTCATTAGATTTTTTTTTTTTTTTTTTTGTTTTTACCCACTTTTTTATTTTTGTAAATATAAATTCACTTATTTCTCTAAATTCGTATATATAGACTAGGAATATCAAAAATTTATGTATATAGTTGGAGCTATTTCTATAAATTGAACAGAATAACTCTTATTTGTCTTAATTCGTATAACTCAACTCTTCGCATAGAAATGACTGAAAGTTGTTCACTTCTAAATCTACAAATACCATCCTTTACCAAACACCGGTATTCCATTACTGATTTCGGTCCGAACATTTTTTCACGGCGTTTCTTCAAATCCATTTCTTTCTCACACCCGTTATCAAAGTTCCAACCTTGTCGAGTTTCCCGTCCAACCCGAGCCACGTCAGCTCCCATGGAAGTTGAACGAAGTGAAGGGTCTTCAGCAAACAGTGGTTCATCCCCACCAATGAAGCTCTTGTTTGTCGAGATGGGTGTCGGTTATGATCAACACGGGTCTTCTATTCACTCTTTCCCTTTGCTTTTCACTCTCTTTTTTTTTTTTTTTTAATTTATTTATTATTATCTTTCGTTTTGCTGACATGGGATTTTCATATCAATGTCATGCAATAATGCATAAAACAGACAGAACATAACAGCTGCAGCTATGAGGGCGTGCGGGGATGCCATTTCTTCTAATTCAATCCCGGCTTTCCGGAGAGGTATTCTTATTGGGTTTTCATTTTTCAGTGTGTGTTAGTATCTATTTATTGTTGCTGTGAGTTTTATATTTTTGGTGTATGATAATAAGGGTCTTTTGAGGCCCAGTGATAATTGTTATGTTTATAATTGGTTAGTGAAAATATGATGCAGTATTAGGATTTTGTGACTGTAGAAGTTGAACTCTTGCAGGAAAGGTAGGAACTTTGTTCCAAATGTCTTGGACTTTGACCTCTTGGTTATGGTAGTTTGCCCACTTGTATTGACAAAGGAACATGGCCTCAATGGAAATTGGAGCAAATCAAAATTAGAGCTTCTAGAATTGTAAATAACAGATTGACCTTGATCAGACAAAATGAACCTGGAATAGTTTCCTATTGTTTTTAATGATTAACTTATTTCTTATTATCAGGAAAACAGATGTATCATGTATATCTGATGTTTCATGATTATGTGTCTTCTAAGAGTTGCAACATATAGGAGTCGTGTCATCTTCATTCCTTTCATTTGGAGATGTTGTAATACTTTCTTACCATCAAATTTCTTGGTTTAGGGAGTTTCGGTTTAGTGTCATTTTCCCAACATAAATAGCTTAGAGAAGCGTTTATGATTTATATGATACAATTGATTTACAATCTACACTATGTGGCTAGCTTTGCCATGTTTTCAGGAAAAAAATTTCCAGCAAGTTGCTTGTGAAGGTCCTTACAATACAAGTATATAATCTCCTAGTGGCAATGAGTTAAACATGTATTTTATCTCCCTGTGGTTTATACTTTATAGCGGGGGTGAAACATGAAGGAATAAAAGAATCACTTTGCAATGTCAGGAAAGTGAAGGAAATCAAGGAATGACATGTTTGGTTTAAGCCTATGCTATTATAGGGCAAATATAGCCAATTGAAAGATAACACATTTTAAGACTTCTGGGCGGAGATATCTCTTTATCCAAATTTTCCTCATTATTCCTTATTCCATATTGCTAAGGACAAAAGCTAAACTAATTTCAATCATTTTTAACTCTCATCTCGATGTGCGTCCCAGTTTTACGATGTTGTTTAAATTACTTGTCATTGTATTTGTGAATTGCAATTAGCTCAAGATGGAGAATGAAGATTTTATTGTAAACAGAAAGATTACATGAGGGAGAAAGTAATCATGAATTTAAAGCCTGCTTAAGAATGTTGTTCATAAATTTCTAGTCTAACTATTTCAATATTCTTACTCAATTAACCCATGGATGTTTGTATTGTTCTTTTACATAATTTCTAGCTGTAACATGTACCTTGGGTTCTAATTGTAATGCTTATAAATCATTCCTCTTGCGAGAAATTAGTAGTCAAGTACTAAGATTGACTTGAACTCCACCCTGCAAATTTAAGATAATTTATAGTTTAGGAAATACATTGCAGTCAGATGTTCAATATAACCAAAATCTCCACTTATTTGGAATCTGCATGTATATTGTTTTCTGTATTGTTGTTCATAGTTGGTTATTTATTTTAAACATCTGCTTTGATAATTGACTTTCGAAATTGTTTCTTCAATTCTAATAAGATGAATTTGGTTTAGGTTCCATTCCTGGTGTCAGTTTTGATCAGATGAAATTGCAGATCAAGCTAGGGGTTCCTCATTCTCTCCAGAAATCTTTGGATATTGAGAAAGTCAAGTCTGTATTTCCCTAGTGAGTATCCACATCCATGGAAACTAGTGCCTCATTCATAATTTTTTTTTTTTCATGTTGTTTTCTATATGTGATTGATGTGGCTATCAATATAAAATCATCTATTATAAATGAATTTATTTGAAAATTGTAATATTTCAATCTTTTATAAGTAAAGCTCATTTTGGGTCCCTGACAAAAAACACGGTCCTCATTTTAGTCCCTTACAAAAAAAAATTAGTCGCATGATCCCTATGAAATTCAAAGTGGACCCATTTTAGTCCTTTTGAGGGACTAATGTGGATCTTTTTTGAATTTATGAAGAACCACGATTTTAACTAAACAGGTTCACTTTGAATTTCTTAGGGACCTTGGGACTAATTTTTTTTTTTGTAAGGGACTAATGTTAGGACCGTTTTTTTGTTAGGTACCCAAAAAAAACTTTACTCATCTTTTATTGTACTGTAGTGTCCAGTTAGATTTTGAATTTTCTAACAGAAACCTTAGTCATTTTTTCTCTCCTGGTTTATATTCTGTATTGAAGTTTATATCTGCTTGAAGTCTTGAACCAAAATATAGTTTTGGTGTTCTTAGATGCTAATGAACAGGTATTGACCTGTGCTTTTGCTCATTTTTTACTATGGTTGGTAATCTGCTATGCTTGTTTATTCAGTTCATGCGGTTGTTTATTGTTTATATTACGATATAATAACATTTGCCATGTCAATTCTTTGTAATAATCTTTTTGAACTTTCCTCCCTCTTACTCTGCCCCCCAAAACATTGCAGTGGAAAAATTATGAATGTTGAAGTTGTGGATGGTGGTTTGATCTGCTCAAGTGGGGTGCATGTGGAAGAGATGGGTGACAAGAATGATGATTGTTACATTGTGAATGCTGCTGTTTATGTGGGCTATTAACTTTCAGCTTCTGGAGAGCTTTGTTCAGTTTATTCTCCTGTCAATAGACTTCTGATTTAATAATTTATGGTGTCTGCTGTATAATAATATAACAAATTGTACATTTCTATATTCCATGTCCCAGTTCTTGCTTAGTCATTGTAGGTTTTCATACCATGAGAGCGCCATTCTGTTCTGACGTATGTATAAAATTAAAAGTTGAACTCTTTTACTTTTAAATGCACTTGAATTTGTGAAAGTCAAAAAGGTTGATTCTTTATGATATATAAAGAGCGTGTAGAATGATGAAAAACAAAAAAATTTCTTGTTCATGCGGAATAACATCATTTGTTTATGTGAAATTACATCATATCATCTCTAGGATTTACTCAATAAATTCATGGAGTATATGAAAGATCATATGATCTTCTCTCACAAGAGTAACACGAAGTGCTGAAGTATACAACACTCTCTAATGTAGTCCACACTATCGGATGAAAAACGTGGGAGAGCACTTATCTTCAATCCTTCCTAGCTTGATTGCTTGCTTGGCTGAATGAGAATGGAAGGATCTATCAATGGTGTCTTACTTTGAGTGAACAAAAGTATGGAGAGGGAGGCCGGGACTATGTGGCTTGTGTGTGTTATGCTCTAGGCGCTTGACCACTCTTGGGGTTCTTGAAAGATTAACCCTAACTCATGATCCAATCATAAGTTCCCCCCTTCCATGAAATCCGTACTTTGAATTCGAAAACTAGTTCTTATCTAATTTAATTCAAAATCCTAGACCACTCCTAGGGGATGTTTGGTTGAGGTGAAATTTTTTTTATTAGGGAAATGTAAATACTAGGGATCTGCAGGAAAGTGAGTTAGATAAGAAAGTTTTTAAAAAGTTATTTGGTTGGACAAAATTTTACCAGGAATATTGAATGAAATTCCTGAATATGTGTTTGGTTGAAGATAAAATATTGATGAAAAAATTTATTGAAATTACAAAATTATCCTTTTAAAAGATCCCTTTTGTTTTGTACCACTTAAATAACTTAGCTAGTTTTCTTAAACAAATACCACTTCCTGAGATGTTTTCTGGAACAGTGTTTTTGTTGATTTTTACATGCAATTGTGATTGATAGGCAAGTGAGTTAGATGGGTAAAATTCATCACATTCGTGAATCAAACGTGAGGAATTGAGAATGCCTTCTTCACTTCGCTAGGAAACTGGGGAAAACTCTTAAACCAAACACCCTGTTAAAGGGTTTTTTCCGATTCAAATCATAGCTCTTACTTAAGAATAGGATAAGGTTTATCTTAATCTATTTAAGATATATTTGAAATTTCAATTCACAATTCAAAAGTCAAAATTTAAATTAAGATCAACATCTTTATTAATTGAGGGGACTAGTTTGAGTCAATTCAATTCTGGATTTGGGAAAGTTCATTTAAGTGCTACATCACTTAATTGAAGGTGTTATAGCATGTAAAAAGCAGGGATGCAGAAATACAAGGAAAAATCATGAAATTCAAGATTTCATTGTCTTGTATCTGATTTTTAGTAATTCTGTATGTGATTAGAGTATTCTTGTGAGATTAAATTCTGATTTTGGTTTTTAGCAAACTGAATTTTTCATTGAAAAACTAAATACCTTACAATTCAAGAAACTGAGGTAGGGTAGAAAAAAGGAATTAGATTCACTATTCCTTGAGAACGATTCTTATCTTGTTGATACTTATATTACAATAGTGATTGTTAGCACCAGACAAAAAAAACATTTAAATTTCTATGTAAAAATTTCAATCAAACACTACGTTTTTAGAGAAAAGTTAGAAGTGTTTGGGATGTTTAAGACGTGGAGGACCATGGATGAAAATTAGAAGGGGAATCACATTCAAGCTCTAAAGAAGCAAATCTAGTTGAAAAAAAAAAAACTATCTAGTGAATGAATCATCCAATGTCATTGATATAAGTTTCAGATACAATACTTGTTTGCATTATTTTAAGAAAAAATGAATAGTTTCAAAAATTTTTTATTACAAATATGAAATATATATTCAACATGAATTGAGCATCAATCAATGGTAAAGTTCAATTGCATATTGTGATTCAATAAACATTAATTCGTTCCCTTTTAAAGTTCCTTTCTCATTTTCTGAACTTGTGTAACAGTTTGATCTCCCTGACTAACTTGGTTTGGAACTCTTTTATCTATTCTTCAAGAGTCCTATTTTACAATTGAATGCACCCTATATTCTTCAAGAGTTCAATATAATACTCTATAACCTCACATGATTAGAGCTGCATTTAGGAGTTGGTTCCAAGTATCAGGTAGTCCTGGTAGGCACCAATGACTGCAGTCATTCCCCCCATGATCCCCGCTATATACAGAAGGATGTGCATCTTTTCGTAGCTGCGAGAGGAGAGTTATGTCAAGTAGATAAACAGGATTCTTCATGTTCTTTATGACTCTGTTCACTATGTTAGCTGCAGGAGGTAGGCCTGCTGGATATGTTGACCCAGATAAGGGTTCAAGTTCTCCGCTACAGCTCTTCCTTGGTTGATTCCACTCCTGGCCTCTGATTCAAGGAGAGGAGCATCATAAAATACGTTTAAGTAAATCTTATAAACTAACAAGAGAAACTTGAATATGTTAGGTATAATATGAACATGGTAGAGATATAATAAAAAATTCATGAACAACTAGTTTTGGCCTTTGGGAGAGTTGTTGCCCTCTTTCTTCTAATAAAAAATAAAGGTTGGATTTCCAGATAGGTACGTGAGGTTGTGTATTATTCATATTTTAATCTTACAAAAATGAGCTTTTGCACGACGGGGTGTGTTAGATATAATATAAATCAGACAAATATTTCTTCAGTTACTGCAGATACGTTATCTGCATTTATTTCAAAACGACGTCGTTTTGAGATTGAAATATTAAAAAATTATAATTATAAAGACTATAATAATCCTGAAATAAATTAAAATTATAAAAACACCCTGATTTCCGCTCCAAAACGACGTTGTATTGGATTTACTGCAGATAGCTTATATGCAGTAACTGCAGAAAAAGCAAACTCGATATAAATATGTCGCATAATAAAATTGTTAGAGATATATAAAACCATTAATGTAGTGTCACCTAATAGCTTAAGCTTTTGGATTGATTTGATTCTTTACATGGTATCTGAGTTTCGGTATCTCGTGTTTGATCGTTGCTGTCCCTTATTTTCTCTGTGAATTATTTTAGCACAGGTAGACTGGGCTTGATGTATCATCCCCTTTCAAGCCCAATGGACTCTCTTGTGAGTGGGCGTGTTAGAGGTATATAAAATCATTAATGTAGCATCATCCATTAACTTAAAATTTTGGGTTGAATTGGTAGTTTACAAAAATCATCCACATATCTTCATTCAGCAACTCTAACTTTTAGGAGAGTTGGTACATGACATCGTTGAAAAGCATAGAAAATCAACTAATGTTCCAGTTTCAATTATTTGAATCTCATAAACGACTATTAAGAGAAATTTGCTTTTAATTCTAGTTGAAATTGCATATAGATGAGCATAGCAGTTACTTACTGATAATGAGTAGGAGAAATGCCTTGAAAGAAGACTTTAGTTTTGGTAGGGTCAACATTGTGATCAACCCATCCAGCCCAAGTGATCAATCCCTTATAAAATGCCTCCAAACGGTCCATGTCCTTGAGTAGATTGGGACCATCTCTTATATAATCCCATCTGAATATAGCAAACATCAACAACCGTCAAGTTTGATTGTAAAACAAAAAGGAGAATGAATCAATGAGTTGATACACTCAGCAATAATAACAAACAACTTTTTACTGCTCTCTAAAGATTCATTCACTTCTGTAGTTAAATGTAGTTGTGTTTTCAATTTCATTGTGCTATATTATTATTAATAGCATTATTGTACACAAAAAGCATACCCTTGAGAGTTTCCAGTGTGGGTCCACCAATGCCACGTGTTGAAGATCAACATATCCATGCCTATCCATGCATTACCCGCTTGTATGGAGTCTAATGTAAGCACTGGACCAACATCTTCTCGAACTATGTCCACCAAATATGGTGTGCGGTATAGCTGTATGGTTACTCCATAGTCCTGCGCAAACTCACCAATAAGTACCATTTTGGGTGATTGAGATTAAATTTCAAATTAAAAATGAGTTTTATTAATCTCCTTTGGTATCTTATGTTGTAGAGAGAAATTAAATGGGTCCCACCATTACAAGAAAAAAGAAAAAGAAAAAGAAAAAAAAGTGAAGTGCGAAAATCGAAGTGAGAGAAAATGAGATAAGTTACCTTGTGTAAAAGGAGAATAATGTTTTCCATTAAAAAAAGGCAAAACAAGTTGAACTTGGAGTCACGGGGTTCATTCATTGTAATAGGAGAAACATGGAATGCATAAAATATTCACGTTGAAAACAATGAACAATCCACAAATAGGAAACTAAACTCTGCAAAATTATTAAATTTGAGTCAATTGAAATTTTGATGTACTTCAATTTAAATTAAGGGTTACTTGTTCACTTTAAAAGAACCTTATCTCTACAAATATACTCTGCTTTGTGAAGGCCATTTTTCTATACATAAATGCGATGACAAATATGAAATAATAATATTAATTTGTATATAATTTCTTTTTGACTGATTTACAAAAATAATTGAATTTAAATATTCAATACAGAGATAAAGTTGAGGAATTTAGTCAAACCTAGCGGCTACATTGATGTACACTCTACACGTTTGAATCCATAGAAATTGGGACATTTAACTATAAACATTGGAAATCCTTGATTATCAAACTGTACAACTTGTCCCTTTCTAAGGAATCTCGTGAACCATTCTCAGAAAAAAAGAATGCTGTCAGGATTGCTATTAATGTGCTCAAAGCATGGTTGAGTTATCTGGGTTTCTACGCCTCACCAATATAAGGGGAAGTGCTTCTAAGTTTTGATCTCCAATTATGAATTTTTTAAATCATTTTCTACTATATGCTATTTATTCCAGTCTGAGATTTATCTAAAGTTTGCAAATTATGTAGTATGTGGCTTGACATTTTTTTTTTTTTTTTTTTTTTTTTGTAAACAGGCATAAATGATTTTTAAATATGATGTAACTGAGGCATGTTCTGTGATTGATGTTGATTGAGCAAAAATAATGAAGGCAAATAATTGCGGAGAGCCTCCAAATTGTATATTGTAATCACAGGTTGGCATGCTCTGATCCCTCACAAGTTGGCATGTCTTATTCAGATATATCTTTATGGAAAACAATAGATAACTATTATTTTGGATGATAAGGTTTATAACATGTGTTTGGATTAATATTTATTATTTTTTAAAAAAAAACATTTCTGAAAATAAAGACATTTACCAATTATGCACCTATTAATAAAGCTTAATTTACTTTGTTCCAATCAATTGTTCATCCACACATCATTTATTTGGTCCTTTCTGTCAAAATCTAACTTACATTTATTGGTTTAAGTTTTAAAATGGGGTGGGGTAGGAAATTGAGGGAATGAACAGTGGAAGGACGACACATAAGAGAGAAACAAACAATGGCGGTGAGAAATAAGGGACATTGATCATACTGACACGCTTGTCACTAAAAAATACTGGTATGCCACGCTCTAACGAAATTTTGCCAAAATGCCCGTCATATTCTAGCTATGCCACCTAGCGAGAATGGACTGTACACATAACAGCGTCTGCATGGTCAATTATTCTAGCTGAACAGCCCAGTAAGAATGACAGGATGCTGACACGTGGCAAAAATACAAACATTCTTGCTGGGCAGCCCAGCGAGATTAGTCACTTGAACAGTTTTTGCAGAAAAAATCTGTACTTTTGCCATGTGTCAGCATCCTATCATTCTCGTTGGGTTGCTCAGCTAGAATGATTGACCATGCAGACGCTGCCACGTGTTCAGTCATTCTCACTAGGTGGAGTAGCAAGAATGTGACGTGACATTTTTACAATTTTTTTTTGCCGTGAGAATCCGATAAACTTTTGTCCAAAAAGTGATAAAATGGTCATTGTCCCGAGAAATAAAGACACACGTGGGAATGTTGTCTACACTAAAACAGAAGACAATCAAATCACTAGTGGTTTGTGTATTAAAAAACAGAAAGGAAACAAAGAGAACATAAAGAAAAACAAACCTGGAAGGTCACAATAGACGATGCTCCTCTCCTCAAAAAGCTGGTATTGGCATTCGGCACCGACGCGTGAATCATGCAGGACAATGATTCCCACATGTTCAGACTCAATGAATCACCCACAAACATTATCTTCTTACCCTTCCACTTGTTCAAGAAACCTACCCCATCGAACCTATAACAGAAAAATCAGAGTTACATCAACAAAACCCCATTTCTCAATGTAGTAAGAGAATGAGAGGAAAATGAGTATACTAACTGCATAATAAAATGTTGCGAATTCCTCAAGAGACTTCACACATTTCTAAATATTGCATTTCAACATTATTGTAATTTCAAACAAGGAGTCTCTAGGCACCAAAAATTTGGTTTACTGACAAAAGCTAACAAAACCCATTTATCAAACACTTACAAAACTAAATTTATTGGTCCTTTCTACTTCACAGTATTTGGTAGATAAAAGATCATGGAAGCTCTGCCATCAATATTTGTAAGAAAAGAAACATCTTTTGAATAGGCTTCCATGTTTTTAAGTCTACCATTCTATTTGTTAAATGTATAATTTGGGAACAAGAAGAATTTGATTTGAAACAAATGACACATATATAGCTGCTTGAAACATAAAAGCATATATGGGTTTCATAAACATTAAAACTACCTTGGTAAGGCACATGAATCAGGCTTCCAAGAGTATTTGAGATATTGGTTGTCGGGTCTTCCATACTTTTGGCAATCAAACTCAGCATCTATGAAGGGGCAGCTTGAAGAGTCATAGAGAGGATATGAAGGGTCAATCACCCAACTTCCAATGAACAAATTACATCCACTTAGTTCCTTTCTCCCTCTTATGTGTGTCACATTAGGAGACTTTGCTGCTCTTGCTTGGTGCATTGATGCAAGCAGAGCTAGGCAACAAAGAGAGACCAAAAACATGGAATGCATCTTAAACCCCATATGGTACTATTTTGGGGTATAAAAGCTAAGAATGAGAGGGATAACAAAGGATGTGCTCACTGTACTTGTATGTTATGTGCTTAATGGTATATATATACAGTTAAGATCAGTTGAAACCAATGTCAAATTTGAAATTTGATACCTTATCTAAGTGTCATTAGATCAAAAAAGATTAACGACTCTGATTTGTAAGCATGTGATTTAATTGATCTTTTTTGATCTAATAGCTCTTAGATGAAGTGTCAAATTTCAAATTTGACATTAGTGTCAAAAAATCTTATCTCATATATATATATTTCTACGGTTGCTGCATAAATTTTTATCTACTCCAAAAAATATATAGGTACATTTTTTGACACAATGTACTCACTCTTTTTTTTTTTAGGAGAAAGACAGATAAACTCTTGTATCAACTTTTATATATATAGTCCAGAGAAACTCAAGAAAAAGTGTGCCTTGTGGTGGGTTCACGTGGAGGGTGCTACAGAACATTGATTTTTATTTTCTTACATGAGTTGGGGATTTTGGATGGATTCGTTTTGGTGTTTTGTGCAGCGTATGGGGTTTCAAATTGATGATCTTGTCTTATGGGGAAAATCAAATGTTTACTACATTATTGGGGATTGGATTGTTTTTTTGCGTTCCCCTGGTCTGCAACATGTCACGGGGCACATTGAAATTTTATGATATTCCATATGCTTGAATCTTGTTCCTCCCGTTTAAGAATTAAATTTATATCCGTAATCCATATGCTTCGATTATTGAGTTTTAATTGATGCATTAAATATACAACGAAGGCTTATTATTTGATATGATAACAGTTATTATTTATGTGTTATAATATTATATAAATAGCTTTGCACACACAAAAATTCACATTCGTTTTATATTATTAAATTGTTCTTTATGTAATTTAACTTCAAATTCTTGACGTAATTTTATAATTAAATTCGTATTATAATTTTTTTCTTTTTAAATACTGTGTATAATTTTTTTTCCCAAATCTTATTGTCCGACATATTGATGATAACAGAATTGATAATTCATGGAATGATCACTGATCAAGTTGTTCAAATTTGACAAGTGCAGCTTGCTCCTACCCTACTATGCTTCCCTGTCATGAGTTGGAACCTATCTGCACGAAAAGCTTAAAAAAAATAAAAATAAAAGTAGGTAAGACCACCTTCGTCGCAATTTACTTATAGCGAGTTTTTTTAATGGTGATAATGAATGATCAAAACCAAAATAATCGGATTTAATCACGTACGGTTGAGCTAGAATAAGTACCTGTTTTCTTTTTCTTTTTTATAATTTTTTTTATCTTTATAAATAGAAATTAGGTGAAATAGGTTTTTACAAAAAAGAAACTCTTATAATAAAAAGAATTTTTTTTATAACGAAGAAAAAAAGTTAAAAATTAAAAACTCACATGATGAGTTTTTTTAAATTATATTAATTTTTTTTTAAAATATGTATTTTTTATTATTAATAAACAACTTTTAAGTAACTTTTAAACTGAAAATTTTATATAATCATCAAATAGTTTGTAGCTTTAGTTTTAAAACTCTTATTTTTAGTTTTAACTTAAAAAAAATTAGCTTAAGAAAAGAAAGAATTCAAAGAAGCTCTAAGCATTTATGTATTGATTGTATAAGAAAGATATATAATGTATTTAGTTAACAACGGATTATAAACACATCAAGTATGTCAAATATTATATTTCAATTCAAAATCTTGAAACATTAAGTTGATAAATCCTTCTATTTATATGAACTTTAAACTTATTATTAATCAATGTGTGGTAAAAAAATTAAAATATTACACTTTTAATAATTAAATACGAATAGTTGCAGTTTGGAAACTATCTACGGATCTATTGCAGTCATTCACGCCCAAAATGGGCGGGACAATTCACGCCCATGCAAGGCGTGAATTCCACGTCATTCACGCCAAAAATAGGCGTGACTAATCACGCCCCATGCAGGCGTGAATCAAGGGAAATTCCAGCCCATTTTGGGCGTGACTCAGCCCCTTTCCAGCTCCTTTTGGGCATGAATAGCACCTATTTTTCCTATATAAACACCTCCCATCTCCACATTCATCACAACTCTTCTTCATCTTAACTTCTTAGTCTTCGATACAGTCTCGCTTGCTTATGCATACTCTGTTTTGTGTTTTTCTTTATTAATATAGTTAAGAATGAGTTCACATTCTGATTTTGTTCATGTTGTTTTATATTATAATGGTAGGAAAATGGAAGGTCGACGTGGTGTCATTTTTGAAGGAGAGAAAATGCCAACACGTATCATGCGAAACTCAACAATTAGCGAAGTACATCAAAAAATTTGTCAAAAGTTAGCGCTTGAAGGTAAACAATCTGGTCACTGCAAGAATATGGTGTGAATCACAATACATTAGTATGCAAGTTGTTGACGATGAAGACGTAGAAATGGTAATCGGAGAGTTTTTCAACCAGTCAAGGAAATATTTTTTTAGAGTTATACGTGGATATTGCCGAAACAGAGGATGTTGTTATACCTGTGAGGTCAGTTGATTTAAATTTTGCACATAATGCATCATCATCTGCTGCTCCAGTTGGTAATCTGTCTGAGGAAGGAGAAAATGATCCTACCTGGGTTATGGAAGATGATCGTGAGGATGACGATGATGAAAATATTGCAATGGAAGATCAACTTCTTGCTGAGGATGCTAGCGCTTCAGACAACGATGATGAATGTGGTATTCCTGACACTCAAATCCTAGAATATAATGTTGTGGGTGAGTCTCATGTCCAGGAACATGATAACGTCGCGTCCACTCAGTTATCGCCAATTTTGGAAGGTAAGTAAGTAAATGGCTGAAAATATACATTTATATTTGCAGCTTTTTGGGTTTTAATGTTTAATTTTGTACTTGCAAGTGACGATGTTGTTCCATTTTGGAAAGACATTCCACATTCCATATACATTAATTGGGATCATCCGAGGGAGCAAGATTTAAGTCACGACGGTTCAAGTTCTGGCTCAGGCTCAGGTTCAATTAATGCTCCGTGGATATTAGGTAACAAGTTGTATGTTAAGCAAGAATTTGAATCAAAAAAGGAGGCGCAGATGGCAATTAAGAGAAACCTAATGAAAGAGCATTAAGAAGCGATCGTCCTAGAGAGCACGCCTACCAAATTAAGTATGAAATGTTGCAAGTATGAACAGGGTTGCCTGTATGGTCCTGGAAGCACATGCGTCCTGGGATCCGAAGGCTCGACCTGAGTCTCAGTATCGGATGTAGACCGAGGTGACTCTGACGATGACGAGTCAACCATAATAGTGTACTATACAGAATAATAAATTAATGGTTTCATTAATATATTCAAAAGTCATTACATTAATTACACGTGTTACAAAAATTAACTAATTACATGTGTTACACAAAAATTTTACTTTACATGTCCTTTAAAAAAATTAATTACTTGTATTACAAAAAATATTAAATTACATTTGTTACAAAAAATGGCAATTTACATGTGTTAACAAAAATATTAAATTACATTACCTACAAAAAAAAAAAATTAATTAAATGTGTACAATATTCCTGTGTCACTAATATATTCCACGGTCACTATTATATTTCACATTCACTATTGTATTCCACAGTCGCTATTATATTTCTAAGTCACTGTTATATTCCTAGGGTTTAAGACACTATTATTAACATATTCCTAGATCACTATAATAACAGTTATATGTGCAACACCCTAAATTACTATTATAACATGTATCATATTATAAATAACTATTTGATAAAACAGATTTGAAGATTTATTCGTTCGACAGGGCTTCGCCGCACAAAATGCTCCACAAATAATCTAGAGAGAAGGCAGAGCAACTTTAGAGAGAAGTTAGAGAGAATGAGTGAGAGGAAAAAGTGGCAATTTTGGGGTTTATATAGGGCAAACAATTCACGCATGGCTTGGGCGTAAATTGTCACGCCTCCTTAAGGCGTGAATTCAGGGAAATTTTCGCCTCACTTGGGCGTGACTTCTCCCGTCCCTTTTGGGCGTGAATGACTGCAATAAATTCGTAGATAATTTTTAAACTCCAACATATTCGTAATTAATTATTAAAAGTGTAATATTTTAATTTTTTTGCCATCAATGTGTGACTACATCTTATTGCCTTTATAAAGATTTTTTTATTGAGTTGTCTTCTGATTGGTCTGTTGGTGAGGTTCTTATAGCCTACACGTGATTCAAGGATGCCCCGTGAGGGGCTATCAAGTAAAGACTTGTTGAAAACTCACCCATTTTATTATTGATCTCCTAATCAGGTAAAACGTATGCCCACAACTTTTGTAATAATTGCATCAATATATATATAGAGCTGATTTTGTCAATTGTGTCAAATGTTGCGGTTCGGTGGCGTAGCCCCACACACACACATATATATATATATATATATATATATATATATATATATATATATATATATATATATATATATATAATCTCGATTTGAGTTAAATTTTAATAAATTATATTTATTATATATAATTATGTAATTAATTATTATTTAGTTTGAGTTAAAATTATAATTTGGCCAGAGCTATAATTTATAATTTGATCCTATCTAAAATTTAAAATATTTTTGGTAAGAGATTTCGGTAAGTTGTATTAAATTATGTGTTCAATTTCTACTTGTATAAATTTTTTTAGTAAAATTAAAAAAATGAATAAAATTATAATTCTTCTTGGTACTGCCTGTTCAGGTGCTCTGTATTTAATAAAATTTAAATGGGAAGGGTTATATTTACAAACTTTTTGTTTACAAACTCTTACAAACTACACTTTTTATTTTCAGAAAAATTACACTATATACTTTCGGGAGAATATAGTATAATTTACAAAAAAATTTAAAAAAATTTGTAAATGAATCCTTTTCCAATTTAAATATATTATACTATGAACTAATTAAAATTAAGAAAAATAAACACACAAATAATTTTTT